ATATTAACTAGTTTTAAGGGATTATGATTCCATTTTGGATGGAGAACAATGATAACAGACCAAAATAAAGGGTACAAGAGAGAACCAGGTATATTTTCGAAATAAAGAACGGAGAAGGAAAATGTCAAAGTAATAATAATAAACAAGAACCAAAAGACCTTTTTAATCTACTTAAAATTTCTATGGATGCTCAAAGACAAATAACTCACACAAAGGACACATTTTATACCCCAATCAACCAAGAAACATCAAATTGAACCCAAACGATTTGTTATCGGACATCAACAATAAACTAGAAATCAATCAGAGACATTCGAGATAGGGAAGAGAAGAATCAACACACCACTTCAGTTCACAAAACAAAAACATCAACTAAAAAGAGTTAGAATTAAAAGAAGTTTACCTTTTTGGGGGAAACGAGCTGAGACAAAACGAGTTGGAGATGACTTCACCACCGACCTTGAACTCAAATGAACTAGGGAGAGCAATGGATGATACCAAAAAGTAAAACTTAGACCCAAAACGAGATATATTTTCTATTCTCGAGTGTATTTCGTATGTATTTTCTGTATATGTCTCTTGCTAGACCCTTCTTATAAATGGTTCTTACTGTAGGTGAGGTTCGACCAACCTCAACAAAGACGGGAAATGGGCTTTTTATATAGGACAAATTAAGGTTTGGATTTTAGGGGGAAAAGTTGGAAAATTGGATAAGAATGAGGACGAACTTGAATTGTAATTCCAAATTATATCCAAAACAAAAGAATATTCTTATTAATTCCCCAAATTTGAACGGATTGTGTTATGATCTTGAATAAATGAGTAATATAAGTTGTTGTCGAGGTTTGAAGTAGAAGAAAACATTTCAGTATAAGCCAACGAAATAAGCCACATGGCTAGGTGGTTTTGTACCCATCAGAGGAGAGAGAGAAGGCATAACAGAATTTTGGTACACTTCTTCTTCACTGTTTCTTCTCTCTGAAATTCTCTTCTCCTCTTTTCAATCTCCTTCTAAATTCTTTTCTCATTTAAATCTACAGGTCCTTATGGCTATGGCGAGTTCTTCAGTTAGTTTCCGTTAAATGTAGGTTTAATATATTAGATATCCTTGTCTCTAATTTTGCAGTTATAAATCAGAAAATCCTAAAAACTATTGTGTTCGATTATTTTCTTTTCCATTTGAATTTCCAAATCTCAATCGAGATCATAACAATTGGTATCATAGCTCAGATTGTGCAATATGTGTTGTAAGGATGGCAGCAAGCACTTGTTAGAATGTCACCGATGACAAGCTAGCTCAACATGATGAAGTGTTGGCAGATCTGTTGGCTTCACAAAAAAAGGTCTAAAATACACAATTGGGAATCCAAGGCACGCTAGAGTTGATTCTTGACATGCTGGTAACAATGGAAACGACTCCTGCTGGCGAGAACAATAGAGGAGGACTGCTGCCCATTCCAAACCAAGACAACATGAATAGGCCTCAACAGGCTCCAATCTTACCTCCTAGGTAGGAGCTTCCTAATTTCGAGAGGCATGAACCTAAGGTATGGATTTGAAAATGTGAAAGGTACTTTATACAATATAGAGTTGGGGATGAACAAAGAGTAGAAACTGTTGCTCTATATTTGAATGGGGCTGCTGAAGTTTGGTACCGATCAGTAATACTAAGTGGAGGAATAAGAAACTGGATAGAATTCAAGGAGGAACTGGTCAGTAGGTTTGGTGAATTATTTGTTGAGAATGTGGTTAAATTATTTAACAAGCTAAATCAAACTGGTATAATTGATGACTTCCTTGGTAAATTTGAGGACCTTAAGGCCTAAATGCTTATCAGAAACCCAATGTTTAATGAAGCGCATTTCTTATCGAGTTTGATAGGTGCCTTGAAGGAGGAAATTAAATTTTATGTAAATATGTTCAAACCAACCACCTTGAAAATTGCTATTGAAAAGGCAAGGATGCAGGAGATGGCTATTGAAACTGCACTAAAGAGGAACATGTACAATGTTAATAGTCGTCAACCATTAGCCAGTGCAGGTGCCAACAAAGGGCCAACTAATCATGTGGTAAGGAACAACACCTTCAGAATCAGCCCTGAAGTGTGTGAGTACCGAAAAATCAACCACTTGTGCTTCAGGTGTGGTGAGAAGTATGGCCCTGGCCATATTTGCAGGAAGAAACAGTTGAAATGCCTCATGGGATAGAGAGAGGTTGAACCTATTGGTAGATACTTCTGAGGTTACTGAAGAACCATCTGACTTGGTGATTGAAGGTATGCTGGAGCAGGAAATACAACAAGCAATTTGTCTTAATGCTTTAACAAGCCACAATAGGGGTGAGAATACTATTTTAGTAGGTGGGAATGTCAAGAAGAGGCAATTATCAATATTAATTGATTCAGAAAGTACCCACAGCTTCATTGATAAGCACACTGTTATAGCTATTACTTATCAGTCTAGCCATTGCCCACCTATGAGAATGATTGTGGCAGATGACAATTATGTCATGTGTACTTCTCATTGTAAGGGATTCATATGGAAGATGCATGGGAGGTCTTTTACAAATGATCTTCTAATCATTCCTTTTTGGGGGTGTGATCTGGTATTGGGTAATTATTGGATGAAGAAACATAATCCCACTAAGTTTGATCATGAGAAAAGGTGTGGCACTATTGGGAGAAAGAATAACAAGTTGATTCTACCTGGTTTAGTTGAGGAAGGAAGTCTGAGAATGTTAACTAGTAGCTCTATGAGCAAAATCTTTAAAAGGGCTAAACCCTTATTGCTCACTTATCTATGATGAGCACAGTTCCAAGTGGGAATGAGAATGTCATTGATGTTGGCATCCAAGAAGTAGTGGATCAAAATGTTGAAGTGTTTGTTGAACCTCAGTCCTTACCTCCTGTTAGGGCTTTGGATCATCCTATACCTCTCAAATCAGGAGCCATGCCAGTAAGTTTGACGTCATATAGGTACAACCACCAGAAGGATGAATTAGAAAAACAGGTGAAAGAAATGCTTATTAATAGGGTAATTCAACATAGTCAATCACCCTTCTCATCACTTGCATTACTAATGAAGAAGAAAGATGGTATTCGGAGGTTTTGTGTGGAATATAGGGGTCTTAATGATATCACTATTTAAGACAAGTACCCTTTTCCTATAGTTGATGACTTGCTAGATGAGTTGTATGGGGCAATTGTTTCCAAGGCTGATTTAAGGGTTGGATATCATCAGATTAGAATGAGAATAAAAGATGTTTTTAAGACTGCTTTTAGAACTAATAAAAGACATTATGAGTTCAGAGTGATGTCATTTGGTCTTACCAATGCACCGGCCACCTTCCAAGTTGTGATGAATCAAATCTTCCAACCCTTTCTAAGGAAGTTTGTTTTAATATTTTTTGATGACATACTCATTTACAGCCATACCATTAATGACCACATTCGACACATGAAGGTTGTGTTTTCCACTCTAAAGACTCACTCACTATTGGCTAAGAGGTCCGAGTGTTCATTTGGACAGCCACAAGTAGACTACCTATGACATATAATCACTAAGGAGGGAGTAGATACTGACCTACAGAAAATCCAAGCTATGGTTAATTGGCCTAGACCTACCACACTCAAAGCTCTTAGGGGATTCATTGGTCTCACTGGTTACTACAGAAGATATGTAGAGGGTTATGATACCATTTGTAGACCTCTTATTGATTTGTTGAAGAAATGATCATTTAAGTGGAATCCAGAGGCAGAACTAGCATTAGAGGCACTCAAGATTGCAATGCCTTCTACACCAGTGCTAGTCCTTCCCGATTATACACAGGAGTTTGTATTAGGAACAGATGTTAGTCATGGATGCATTAATGTTGTACTAATCTAAAGAGGTAGGCCAATAGCTTTCTTCAGCTAGGTGTTGGCATCTAAGAATAGAGGAATATCAATTTATGAGAAGGAATACATGGCCCTCTTAAGTGTTGTGGACAAATGGAGGCACTACCTTCAGTTTAAACATTTTATAGTGAGGACTGATCACTACAGCTTGAAGTACCCGCTAGAACAAAATGTGACTTCAACTATTCAACAGAAGGGCTTAACTAAACTACTAGGACTTGATTATGAGGTGAAGTACAAGAAGGGTGCAAAGAATAGAGTGGGTAATGAATTATCTAGGAAACAAGAAAGTTTAGGGCATCTGGAGGATCAGGCCTAAGGGAAACTAATGGCTATTAGTACTTGTACTCCTACATGGATACAAGAGATTATGGGAAGTTATACTGATGACCCACATGTTTAGGAGATTCTGATCATGCTCTTAGTTGACTCACATGGACCTAGTTTAGGGCACTATTCGACTGGAGTTCACAATAAGAAAGGCAAGGTAAATGTGGGGTCACATGGGATACTCAGACAACACCTTATCTCCACCTTCCATGACACTCCACTTGGGAGCCATTCTGGACAGCTCGGAACCTTGAAAAGACTGGCTCAACACTTCTACTGGCCAAACATGAAACTTATGGTGAATGACTATGTCTCTAGTTGTGATGTGTGCCACCGAAACAAAGACGATAAATCTGCCTAGCCGAGCTTATTCAACCATTATCGATTCCCAACCATGCATGGAGTCACATAAGTATGGATTTTGTAGAAGGTCTTCCCAAGTCCAGAAGTAGGATGTCATATTGGTAGTGGTGGATCGGTTCACCAAGTATGCTCATTTCATTGCCTTATCTCATCCCTACACTGCTTCTACAGTGGCTAATATATTCTGGAAAAGAGTCCACATCTTACATGGTACCCCTGAATCCATTGTTACTGATAGATATAAGGTGTTTGTGAGTAACTTTTGGCAAGCCTTATTCAAGTTGTTGGGTACTCAATTGCACTACAACTCTGCTTACCATCCACCGAGTGATGGACAAACTGAGAGAGTGAAAAGATGCTTAAAGAATTACCTGAGGTGTATGGTCTCTAATCGACCTACTCAATGGAGACAATGGTTATCACTGCAGAGTGGTGGTATAATACTAACTTACACATAGGATTGCGATGCACACCATTTGCAACCTTGTATGGATACTCTCCACCTCAAATCTTCATTGGACCCCTTTTAGAGAACACTGTACAAGTACAAGATGCTGAAGATGTTGTCATGCAAAGACAAAAATTCCTACAACTACTTAAAGACAACTTGAATACAACACAAGCCAGAATGAAGTATTTTGTTGATAACAGGAGGACTGAGAGAGATTTTGCAGTTGGAGATCAAGTGTACTTGAAGCTGCAACCCTACCGACATTCATATCTAGCATTGCGAAGGAATCTCAAGCGCAACTCTAAGTATTATGGACCATATGTGATCACTGCCAGAATAGGTGTTGTGGCCTATCGGTTAGCTTTGCCTCCTGAATCTAGAGTGCACCTTGCGTTCCATGTCGCTTTCTTCAATCTCTATTTTCACGTTTGTATGTCTAAATATCAAGAACTGATTCGAGCTAATTAACACTATATGTAAATGTTTGTTACTTTTGTTTCATTATTTGTTATGTATCTGGAAGTTCAATCCTTTTGTGTATTTGAGATAGAGTTCATATTATTTTAAATTTCAATTTTAAAAAGTTTTACAAATTAAAATCTATATTGTTTAATTTTTGGGTTTCTCCAATCATTTTCATGGCTGACAATAACTCACAACCGCAAGAAAGAAAGAAAAAAAATACTGCAGACAAGACGATGAAGTTTTACAATTAAAGAATTATTGTGAGTTTATGATTTTGTTATTTTAGGAAGATTTGTTAAAGTTGATACACTATGGAATCTGTAAATATGTTAGAGTTCTTAATTAATACTCAATTACTCATTTAATTAAGGAAAACAATTATAAACATCTAATTCAAAATTAATAAAACATGTATCTAGATATTTTTTTACCGTCGGATACATGTATCTCGATTTTTTAACTTTCAGATACATGTATCCAAAGGTCAAAATTTGTTAGAGTTCTGAATTAATACTCAACTAATCCTTTAATGAAGGATAATATTTACACACATTTAATTTAAAAATACTGTAACAGATACATGTATCTGGCGCGAGTCATGATACATGTATCCAAAAACCAAAATATTGTATAGGAAGTAATATTCTAAACTAACGTGAATCCTAGTAATTAGGACCTACACTAGTGGAATTTATGTTGTTGGCTCTAAACAAATTGTGTTTGACTAATTTTTAAAAAAAAGTGCTTTTAAGAGTCAAATTACAAAAAAAGGACTAGTATTAATGTACTTTTAATATTAAATTATTTTATCGAGATGAACTATTTTAAATATCTATTATAAAAGTTTTAATCAAAATTTTATTTTTATTAAACTAAACTGTACATATTCATGTTTTCAAGGGAAAAGGACAAATATACCCCCGAACTATCATAAATGGTATGCAAATACCATTCGTTATACTTTTAGGACACTAATACCCTTACCGTCTAATTTTTGGAGTGTATATACCCTTTGGGCTAATGGAAGAACACATGTCACGATCTTAACGGCCTATCCAAAATTTATTTAATTTTTATCCACAATTAAAAAAATTGACCCGAATAATTAAAATTTCTACCAAGAAAATTAGCCATTATGTTTGCACATAAGTAATAAAGTTTAGAGAGAAGGAGAGAAAAGTTAGCTCGTGTTGTTGAGGAAAATTAGTTGAGTTGGAAAACATTTTCGTTCATACCAAACACACCCTAAGTATTACTGAAACAATTGTTAAGGAAATATTATAAACTTATTCTATAAGCAAAATATTTTTTTAAAAAAGAATCAAGACTTTTACTTGATTGAGTATGCAATAAATTTTGAGAATTAATTATCTTCTGCTTGTCCTAGCTAGTAATTGTAATTCCAAAAGAATGTTAAGATGACTAATGCATACTATTGAACCATGATTAAAGTAATAAATGTGTGTATTAATCAACTTCAAAAGGCAAGCAGCCCCTCTACTACGTACAAAGGGTCCTTTAGGTTCCTTTTCATTTTCAAATTAGGTAGTATCCTTATTCCTTTCCATTCTATTTTATATGAAATGTTTTTACTCCATTATGTTTCTGTAAAGCGCTTAATTATAATCTTTCAGAGTATAATTAAGTTTATTTTAGATGAAAGTTTAGTTAATCATCGATTGATCATATAAAATATTTGAACGTACACTCTTTTTGTTAATTATTTATGAACCTTAATTAGTGCGATGTTAAAAAGGTATCGTTGTCAAATCAATATTTTCTTAATAGGATTTCGTTTGTTAAACGAAATATTTTTTTCAAACATTCTTCATCTGATACCATCTACCTATTTTAGTATTTTAACTATTTTTATTTATTGTTATTTTTGTGTTTACAGATAAGATGGATATATATTACAAAAGATTTCCTTTGACAAACTAACTTTCAGTGAGAACATATGAGCGGCAAAACTAAGCTAATCCTTTAATGATCAATTTTGTCAAAGTATATATACATAATATTAAAATATATAGTTCATTCAAACAATAATATTTTGGTCCATTTTTGCAACTATGACCATTATTTGAACATAGAATAATCTAAAGAGAAATGTTTAACAAGTTACTCCCTTCGTCCCATTTTATGTGAGGTAGTTTGATTCGATACGAAGTTTAAGAAAGAAAGGAAGACTTTTAAAACTTGTGGTCCAAAATAAATGATACTAAATTTGTGGCTATAAATCATTTCATTAAGGGTAAAATAGTCACTTTAAAGTTAAATTATTATTTATTATAGAAATGTGTCATTCTTTTTTTAGACTGACTAAAAAAAAAGTAAGTCACATAAATTGGAACGAAGAGAGTATCTTTCTTATTGACATTCATTTCTATAAATAGCTAAACAGGATAACACCCTTGTAACGACCTGTTCCCGCCGTTATAGAAAAGCCAACGGGGAAAATTTTTAGGCCCGAAAACTTTTTGGTAGTAACTTGGAATTTCCCAACCTAGTCCAAATTTGGACAAAATCGGAGTCAGTAAGGTCTAGGGAAATTTGGTAACAATTGGGAGATCTAATTATGAATTTGATCATATGATTAGATAGCTAAGACGTTAAGGAACCCGTACGACTTTACGGAATTGAATTCGAGTGGGTAGAACTCCCGAAAATGATTTTAGCGTGACGAATATTTTCTGAGTGTCATGGAATTAAGGTGTGTTGTGAAATGGGGGTTTGAAATTCTTAAATTTGCTCACTATTTCCGTGCAAGCTGCTAAGACGGGATTTTTTCGCCAGGGCGGGGCAGCTGTATCGGGGTGAGGACCGTTGTGGCGGGACAGACGCGACTTAAGTCAGAAATAAACCCCAAAAACGTTTTATTTTGCAAGTTTCGACTTTGAGAGCTAAGGAACGACCCCAGGTGTTTTCTTGACAGTTTTCCACCATTCTTGAGGCTAAAAATAAGGTTTTCACTCCCCGAATCCGCTTTTCGATCCGTAGAACTTAATTTCTTGGGTAATTATCGATGGAGAGGGTTTTGATCTGTGATTTATGGTGGAAGAAACCCTAACATGGGTATGGGGATCAAGGGTTTGGCTTAGGGTTGATGTTATTGGTTATAGTCCGGGTAATTAGGTCTTGTTTATTGATTCTCATTATTGTGATTTTTTGTAGACCAAGAACAAGCGGAAAGAATCTGAAAAGGGAAGAATCAAGTTTCTTAGGGGATTCAAGCTTTGTTCGAGGTAGCCAATGGTTGTGATTTCATGTTGGTTGATATATATTTGTAATTGTTTCATTATAATTCATGTGTGTACGCAAATGTTGCATTATTGATCACACTAATCGTAAATGAGGATAATTGAATAATTGTATGCCATGAATCATGACTTGATTGTATGATTATGAGAATGTGCATTGTGATTGTGATTGTGATTGTGGCTTGATGAATGGATCGGGTGTTACATTTCGATACACTAACTTGGATTGGGTGCCACGTTCCGACGCATATATGGGATCGAGTGTCACGTCTGGCACACTAACTTGGATCGGGTACCACGTACCGATACACTAACAGTTTGGTATGGGTTCCGTGAGAGGACCAATGACTTGGCATAATTGTATATCTTGAGATTGTGAAATTGTACGTTGTTCGTAAGTGATATTGATATTGTATATGTTCGGTGTATGCATGTTTATTATGTTGTAATGACTTGTATAAGTTTCGCCTATTGGGATAGTCGTGTGATCATACCAGTACACTGTGGTTGTGTACTGATACTGCACTTGCTTTTTCTTTATTGAGTACAGGGCATCTTCAGGCGGCTACTGACAGACCTCGCTTAGAAGATCAGTGATCAATCGAATTCAAGGGTAAGTCAGTTCTTCCAGGCTACCATGAGTTCTCTTTCTGTTTATGTCCACATTTTCGAACTTAGATTAGTGCTTTAGATTCCTTGTGTTAGTTTGGGGTTGTACCCCTTCTTGTTTAGACTTATGGTTCTTGTTGAAGTTTTGGTACATTAATTTTCAGGTTCTAGGTATTGCTCTGCATTTGTTTGTTGGAGTTTATGGGAACTACCTATTTTTCTTTTCTTAGACATTTAAACCTGCTTCCGTATCTTTAAATGCCTTAGTTTTTTGTTAAGTTGTTTAGCTTGGGTTGTAGTAATGATTCTCCCACCGGAGGGTTAGTGTGGGTGTCAATCAAGACGGTCTGAATCGTGACAACCCTGCATGCATAAAGCAAATTAATTAAGGAGTAAGTCAAGAGAAAAAATGGCTAGTTATAGAATTGGTGTCCTTGCTCTTCTGCTTTTATCTGGTAAGGCATCTACTTCATTTTGTTTATAACTCTATATAATGCTTTGTCTATATTAGTGGATAAAGTTATCTTCTTATTTGCTATTGTTGTTCTTTTGTTTTTCTTCGTTTGTTTTTAATTATTTTATTTGAGTTGAGGGTCTTTCAAAAATATCCAGCTTCCCAAAGTTTTTAGACCACTTGTGTAATATTTATATATGTCACTCGAATATGAAATTTCTGGTTAAGGATGAATGAGTACTTATCATTTCACCACAATCCTTGTTGCTCAATCTTTTTTTCTTAATCAACCATCAGTGATGATAGTTCTATGTACTAGATTAGTATTTATATCCTTGTTATGTCATAATTAAAGTCATTTATAATAGGAAGTTTCCATGGTAAAAGCAAAAACCCTTGCTTCGCTCTTTCCCTGTCTAACTGAGAAAGTAACTCCCTACCTCCACACATGTACTCCAACTTAGTAGCTCATTTCAAATAAGCGACTGAAATTCAAGTCGAAAAGGAAAAATTAAACATTTTAATATTCATCAATATTGGAGTACGATTTTTTCAGTTACTCTAACAGATAAAAAAAAAATTATGACATATTGAGAGTCATATATTCTCCGGAATATTGTGGTTGTTTAATAGTGAATTGTGTAGATTTTTTATTTTTTTTTTCCATAATGAATATAGTT